AGTTTTTTTTTTTTTTTTACAACCAACTTTTTTATAACCCTGTGGTGAACTGATCGAGCGCAAATGGGCGCACTGTTTACAATCAATAAAAACGTACGCAAATTCTCCGGGAATATTATCACTGCACTCAATGCGAGGGAAAAAAAAAATGTTTTTTTTTTACCCTTGAAATATATAGTACATGTATGAGGGCGTATGAGGGTTCGCTGGAGCGCCGGTGTTATTGATTCGTCCGTAGCGGGCCGGGGATGAGTGACTCATTCCTCCTCGGTCATCCCACCCATTTGCGACCCTCCCTTTGCTTGCGCCTCCTCCTCCTCCTTCTTCTTCTTCCATCATCCGAACCGCCCCATCCACTCGTGGTGTAAGAGTAGAAAATTCCATACGCAACGTCCCTCTCCTCGTGTAATGCCGCGACCTCGACCCTGATCTCGTAGGCCAAATTAATCATTCGCCACAGCACACCTCGCACGAATGATAAATGCTCGCTTGCCACGCTCGATCGGCCGAACGAAGGCGCAATGGGGAGAGGGGGAGAAAAAAAATTGCACTTCGTACATCCAACATTATATTTATTAATTCACCGAATGTTTGCTCACGATACATAGGTATATATACTTTTTACAGTAGGTACTGCAAGTATACATATAATGGCTCGTGTGTAAATTCCACGCGGTTATTGCGCAACGGATGACAACATATTTACGGTTGAAGAGAAAATTTTCGCGCCGCGGGCACGTTTTATTTCTCACGTATACCCTTGTAATATAAGGTACGGTATATCTCTCCAAAGAAGCCGTAACCTTACGTACTTATGCACGCGCGCATCAGTTCGCCAATCCACGCTCAAGACGTTATATTATATGTGGCGCCTGATACTGTATACTCGTACACACCCATCAGGCACAACACCCGCGAAAGATTACTTCACACACGGAAGCTCATACGAACCGACCTATACCTACCTCCTCGGTGCGAATTGGCGCATATTATTATTACTATTATTATTACATGTATGTATACATAACACTCTCGTAATCGGCTTTCTTTCGCGAGCCACGATATTATACGGCCGCGTTATGAAACGAAACAAAAAAAATGGAGCTTGATGAAAATGTAACCGGCAATGGGGGGGGATTAAAACAAAAAGTGCTGTCGCGAGCTTTTTCATCGAACCGCACTTGTTTTCAATTGTCACGGCTGGCTTTTTGAAAATGTTTCGAATCTCTCATTATCGTGCAAAAAAAAAATCCAACTCGAACCAGCACCTTCAAATGGGGGCGGGTGGACAATAATGTCATATACATTTCCACCACTTTTAAAGGACCAACTTCCACGGTTTGCAAATATATTATTATAGTAAGTACTTATGCGTACAGTTCCGTTTTCTCGGAAGCTTTTCGTTGTGCCATTGTAGCTATAAATATACGTGTATATGTATATAGTCCAGTTGGCTGTTGAATCTCGAGAGAAAGAGTATAGAAATAAGAGACAACAGCTACACGCGTACCTATATGTATATACACGGGCACCTGGGGTCTATATTCGTCAACGGTGCATGGCCTCTTTTAGGTGTATATACACACGTAACGCGAGAATATACGTGAGTGTACGTCTATTTCTCACTTCCCGGTCCGGGGCCCCGTACAGTACAAGGTGCGTCGACTCTGGCAGACACCAAAGCATAAGTAGATAGATTTACAAGCCGGCTGGGCAATCGAAAGCTCTTTTCTGCGCTGAAACGCGTGTGTGCAACGCTGGTGTACTTAGAATAATAATAATAACGATACACGGTGTATGTGTCAAGATTATCGAGTGCGGGCGAATATACACTTGTATAGTTATGTACATCCGGCGTCTCGAGGGTCAACGTTAAAAAGGAATACTTATGTGTAGATACGAGTGCCTCGTGATGAGGATTGTTTGACGATCGGCAGAGCTCGTTCCCGATCGTGCGAGTCGAGGAGCCGGTGTCTCTGCGCTGCTAAGACGAGCCAGCCGAACCAACATGAACAGGTGACTGATGCATCGATGGCTTTTAGTTTGTTAAACAGCCGTTTTGTAACTGCAAGGGGAGAGATGGTTTAAGAACTGTGCTGAAAGTGCTTCAGGCTTACTGTACGTATAATCGGTAGGCACGATATCTTAAGTTGCAGATACGTAGCCTTTTTGCATATAACGAGAGGGGAGAGCATCGAAAATTCCTGAGCGATGATTTTGTACAAAAACAGTATCTGGATGAAAAACGTTCCAAACGAGCAAATCTTTTTTTTTTTTTTTTTTTTTTTTTTTCATCCTCTGGGTAGGAAAATCGTCCCCAAGTTGCGTAGTTTATGGGGTGTACTGAATATCATTTTGCCACAAAAGCTACGTCGAAGCTCGTGTGCTTATTTTTATCTTGAATAGATCAGAAAACAAGAGCAAACATTTATAATTCGGCAATTTAAAAACAAACACACGACGGAGCGATTAAATCTTCCGAGTGATGTATCGTCCCATTGAGGATCTAACGATTAACGTTTGTCGGCAAAACCGCAATTCTTATCACCTTCGATTACGCCTTTGTATATGTATTTAAATATACAATATGCGAATGATAAATCATTGACTCTGGGAGTAAATGATCCTCCATATATCTCTCAACACCCGATAGGCCGTCATGGTTTACTTCTTCGACTCCGATAAGGATAAAAGGAGCGTACTTATATATGGGGGAAAAAAAAGAAGAGAAAAAAAAAACCGCAAGCTCAAGAGGGATTGCACAGCAGAGCGCAAGAAAAGCTCTCGGCAACCACGACCCCTGCCCTCGAGGGAGGGCTCCTACGCACACTCGTCAAGCGCCACAGCGACGCCGGCGCACCAGGTCCGATCGATCCGTCTGCAACCCTCCTCTCTCTCACCCTCGTTTTTTTTTTTTTTCATCCCCTCCCCCCCGCGAGCAGGAGGCGCGCGCTTCTCCTTGGACTGTCTCCTCCTGCGCGCCGCAGACGTGCACACCTCGCCGGCGAGGAGGTCTCATAGTCCGCGCACAAATTTGGCACCAGCGAGACACCCACGACACGTGAACTCGACTGCAGCAGCCACTTCCCCGCGGACAGAGTTGCGAGAGCGCCATGCGAGCTTGACGAGCTTGCGATTAACCAAAAGCTCGCCTTTTTTCCCCCCTTTTCTTATTACATTCGTGTTTTTTTTCCATCATAAACCGGGAGGACGAGCGTATCATCCATCCGACAGGGGTAAGGCGTGTGTGGGTGTGTGTGTGTGGTCGCGTGTGAGCTCATACGCGTGCTTGTGCAGGGCAGCAGTATAGGAGTAGCCCCTCTGCAATGGCGCGAGGTCGTTACGAGCTGGACGAGGACGAGCTGCGCTACGGGCTGAGGTACCAGGACGACCTCGAGGAGAACGAGAAGGGACTCGCGAGAGCGGTAAGACCCTTGCCTCACTCATGCGCGGCCCATCATCGAATTGGAGTGCATATTTTTTTTTTTTTTTTTTTTTTCTTTCCCTCGCCGAAGGAGTGTATTTGCGATGTATAGTTTTTCGGGGGGTGTCGAGGAATTCAACTATCCGCGGTTCATCTGGCCGGCCTCTCTGCACGATCTTGTTCGAGCCTGTACACATACACACCTTCGTTTCGTCGCAGGATTGCGCATCATTCGATCGCGTTTGGCCATTGGTGATTTTTCGTCGATAAACCACAGACCAACCAACCACGAATGCTCGACGTTGAAAAAAAAAAAAAAAGAAAAAAAAAAAAAATTGGCAGTACTTGTTCGTCGAAGCGCAATCATAAATCATATACTTGGGTACGGTCGACAGCGAAATCAAGTATAGAGTCGTTACGATTTTATCAAGTTAAAGTGTGGGGCACACCTATGACCCGTGAATTATTGATACCGCAAATTTTTAAGTGAATAAATAAAGATGAAGGATAAGAGAGAGAGAGAGAGAAAAATTTTTGCTCCTCCGTGCATTGGTATCGGTGCGCTGGATATTACAAAATTGAGCTCTGGCTCGGCTCCAAGAGCCCAACTCTATTTGTTTTTCCCGAAACGGAGTCTACATCTCTCGTGAAAAATTCGCCGACGCGGAGCGGAAAGCCATTAAGGAGAGCCGGAGCTTTTTTTTTTTTTATGACTACTTTTTGCGCTCGCATCACTTATCGGGACTGATAAGGGCATCGGGTAATCAGTACCTGTACACATATAAGCTCCCTATCGGCGAAGCGAGTGAGTAGACGAGCACATTATCCGCAAATAAAAAGGTATCGCGTGCGCGTGTCGTGTTTAGTGAAAAAAAAAAAAAAAAAAAAAAAAAAAAGAAACTCTGTACAAACGCGCCAAATGGTAAGCAGTTGGAAATAAGTTGGCCGGAAAAAAAAGGTATAAGGCCAGCAGTGGTACGTGCCGCGCAAGACGAACAGGGACCGCATGCGGCCATTTGGGATTGCGCCAATTTATTACACACGTACCTATATACTATATGGGTCGACGATCGAGAGATGGGCCCTTTTTTTTAAATCCTTTCCTTCTTTCTTTTCTTCTTTCATCTTCCTTGTGTTCTATGCAGTGTATAAGGTGACGCGAAACATACATGCATATAGGTATAGTATACTGTGTGTACAGCAATGTCACTCATGGTCGTTCCGGTGCAGGTCCTTTTAAGCTTCTGGCTTCCGTCTATCTTTTTTTTTTTTTTTTTTTAATTTTTTTTTTCTTCCCTTCGGCGTGTACAGTGACGTCAACGTTGAGGGAGGAAAAAAGAAAGGCGAGAGAAAATCGATCTTGACGAGAGGAGGCGCGTGTGCAGGGCATGTATACGTATTTATATATACAACAACGCGCGTTTGCACGAGAGATAATAATATGAACACATATACTTTGCAGGGGTTGCACGAAATTATTTCACTTACCTGCCTCCCATGTCCGTGTACATATTATACCGGCTGCTCCGCAAACTTCAAACAAGCATGTATATATATACATATTATACTTTACCCGACCTTGGCCATTTGTAAATAATGTATAGATAGAACAGGGAACCTCACGGATCCTAAATTGCGGGTGTTATTGCGTTTTACTCCGACGCGTCTTGCCTGTGTGACGATCGGCAGAGCTCGTTCCCGATCGTGCGAGTCGAGGAGCCGGTGTCTCTGCGCTGCTAAGACGAGCCAGCCGAACCAACATGAACGAATATATATATATATATATATACACCCGTATCATTAACCAAACGAAAGAAAAAGCACACCCTCGGCAGCCGAGACAAGCATCTCTGGAATTCCGAGTGACTTCCACTTCCGACATTGAAGTCACGCGTTTTCAGTAATTCAGCGATTTTCGTGTGCATAATCACCGAGACGAGTTGTTCGCGCTTCGCACTTAATTCTTTTCCACTTGGTGGTTTCGCGGGCGAAACAATGCCATGTAGGTACATAGGCATTGTATATGTATTCGAAATAGTACCACAAAAGTATAACGCTTGCACGCGACGTTTGCTTGTTTCAAGTAGGTATATCCTGTCCGTGTGTGGTGAATTTTCACGCTTCGTCGCTCTATCGAGTACAGATTTTTCGGTGACTCTCGTTTCGCAATATGGGCATTCTCAGGTGCACGTTAATCACTGCACGCATAACGGGCCATGGCGCGTGAAATTAAAATTTTTCAACCTTAACGAGGCCAGTCGCGAGCTAATCCAAACGGTATATATAGGCCTCGAGAATAATTGCAAGCAAACGAGGAGGAAATTCGGAGGAAAGTGAAAGCAACGAGGATTAAAAGTCTCCATATCCGTCCCATACGTATACTCTATACGTGTACATGTACTCTTTAACTCTGGATTCTCTTTTTGTCCTACCGGACTCGCGTGATTTCCGCTTTCAAACCATCTGTATATATATATACATGTAAATCGTCGATCAATTTCGCGTCCTTCGATTAGCACCGTAGGGCATTTAGGGCGGCAAATCCATTATCACGCGCAGATGCAATTACCTACACATATATATATATAGACACCTCGTGTCTCCGGAAATTGAACCAAACTAGCAAACTCGTGTCGTGTATGTATATGTTTTAATTGTCCCACCGTATACTACACGGTGCAAGAATTTTTTTTTCCATCCTGCCGTGTTTGTTTTGCATTACAGAGAGGACTGTTGAATTATTTATGCTCGGTGGTACTTGTTTTTTTTTTTTTTTTTTTTTTTAATTTTTTTTTTTATTGTGCGCGGTTATACTTTTTTCTTCCCCTTCGCGACTATTGGTCAATTAAAAGCTGNAAATATTCTTGCAGTAAGATGGTGCATCGAAAAGACTTGTATATAAGATACGAGGTTGGCTGGTGCACGAGAAAAACTTCTGCCACTGGGACACGCTTCGATATTAAAAATGTCTTTTTGTAAAATTTCATCAAATAGTAGGATAGGAAGGAAAAAGCCATTGAGTCATGCTCGTTTGTACATCCTAAGGAAAAAAAACTGATAAATAATTATAATGGACTCATTGTGACTGTATGAATTTCCGCAGGGCGACAGCAAGGGCTCGTCGAAGAGGGGCACGCCACACACTCGGGGCACCGCCATATCGTTCGGGTTCCGGCGCCGTGGGACCGCCAACACCGGTATCCCCGTCCCCATAGCCAACCAGTACCAGTCGGACCAACAACACCAGCGCTCAAAGTCCGTAGGCCCGGAGCACGAGTCCCGACGCCGGCAACAGCTGGTCGACGACGATTACTGTTGCCACTCGAACGTCCGCCACCAGCAGTACTACACGTCCTCGGGGCGCTCGACGCCCCGGCTGGCCCCCCCTAAAAAAGAGTCGAGCGGCTTGCCCGTCCGCACCAATCGCTTTGGCTTCCGCAGCCAGACCCGCTACACCGACAAGGTCACCGATCTCGGCTTCGCCAGCTACGCGACCAGCAACCACCTCGACAAGCTCGACCAGTACCACCACCACCACCAGGACTGCTGCCACCACCATTGCCCCTGCGCCCACGAGCAAGATGCCGGCCTCAGGTTGCCCCGGCAGAGCAGGTCCTCGGCCCAACAGCCCAAGCCACGACCGTCCCCCGTGAACCATCCCACCACCACCACCTACGGCAACAACAACATCTACAATCACAACAACAACAACAACAACAACAATCCCAACAACAACAATAACAACAACAGTTGTAGCTACCAGGTGGGCAACCTCGACGCGAACAGGAGGGTGGAGCAGGTGAGCAAGTACACCCTGCACACGTCGCACCTGCCGCAGCCGCAGTACGCGGTGCGGGTGGCGGACGCGAGTTCCAAGATCGCCAAGACCGTGGCTAACCAGAGCCGGAAGGTCGGAGTCCCGGGGGGGAGCGGCAGTAGCCGGGGCTGCAGCTCGAAGGAGGGCTCCGGCACCGAGGACTCGGGCCTGGGTAGCCAGCACGGCTGCTGCTCGGACGACTGCAGGTCGCGCTACGACTACAACTACGGCCCACATCACCAGCAGCAGCAGCAGCAGCAACAGCAACAGATGGTCAAACCGCGCAAGCTGAACGTCGTGGTGAGCGGCAAGAGCTTCGACGTGCGCGACGTAGACGAGGATCGGCACGTGGTTACCGAGATCTCGGTCATCCAGTTGCCGAGCAACTTTGCCCAGCAGCAGTTGCAGCGCGCGACCCCGGCGCCCTGCCACCCCGGCGGCTTAGGTCTGGTGCGCGAGCGCACGGCCCAGTACCAGCGGGCCATCCTTGGCAAGCAGGACAACCGCTACATCACCGACTCGACCACCTCCGTGTCCACGGCCTCCATGTCCACGACCTCGTCCGAGGGCTGTTACGACGAGGGCCTCGGCGAGGAGAAGGCCTACAAGGACCGCTCGCGCACCGAGAAGCGTCTCTCGGCGGTGACCACCACCACCACTGCCGATCCATCCGCGTTGGCCACGAGTTTTTGCTCCGTCTCCTCGGGCGTGGCAACGCCCTCCGCCATCAGCTCGTCGTCCGCGTCGTCGTCGTCGTCGATGCTGCTGATGCGCTCGGCCGGGGAGTTGGACGAGGGACACGAGTTCGCTGGTCACGGTGGCGAGGCCATGGCCGACGAGTACTCGAGCTGCGAGCAACTCGGCCGGGGTGGTAGCGACGGGCTGCGGCTGCTCTTGCCCCAACAGCCCTGCAACACCGTCACCCAGACGACCAGCCAGCACTTCCGGGCGATTTCGAACGCGGCGAGGAGCGGCATCCTGCCCAAGAGTACTCTGAGGTCGGTGCTCCTGACCATCGAGGACCCGGCCTTCGCTGCAGTGGCGGCCACAACGACGACCCTCATCGACGACGAGACCTCGCCGGTCGACAGTCTCTTCGACAGTCCCACGGCCAGCGTGTCGCAGCAGTCCGACGTCGTTGGTGGCAAGAGGGGCGAGGCCGCCACCGCTGCCCCTGTCAACGCGATGGAGCGCTCGGGGAACACGATAGACGACGACAGTCCCGGCACGCCGACCAACGCCTCGCTGAGCCTGTCCGAGGGCCGGGAGTACTTTGACGACGAGATCGCCGATCAGCCCGGCCTCGTGTTCGACGAGACCCTTAGAGAGGTCAGCTCCTCCGGGGCCGCGACCAACCCGCACAACAGCCAGACCCTCCCGGAGATGTCCTCACCGAAAGTGCAACGTGAGTCTTGTTACATACTTTTCCTTGCCGCGCCATTTCTGGATGATTGTCATAATTATATACAACGTGGACGATTATTTGCAGGCGCGGTGCAGGGACGGAGCGTGGAGAACAGCCCGATGCACGGGCGGAGGATCCATCGAGCTGGCAGCGTGAGCACACTGTCTTCCTGCGAGTCGCTCGCCTCGGACGATCTTATGATGGACTACGAGCGCAGCGACGCGAGCTCCTTCGGGGACGTCACCCTAGCCAAGTAATTCGTTTTTTTTGGTTTACCTTTGAATCCAAGTCAATTGAGGGAGTGCGATGGGTTGACGTTGCGTGATTTTTCTTTCAGGGATAACTCGGCGTTCGTCATGCAGGATTTGGATGAGGTGACCAGTCTCTTGGATCTGGAAATACAAGGCCAAGAAGCCATGAGGGAGTGGAGCTCGCTGGTGGGACAGACCCAGCAGGCGCTTTCGAATTCGGCCAACAACAACGCCAACAATAATCAGAACACGGACTCTGGGTGTGTAGCCCTTTCCTTTCTCTAACAGGGATACAATTGTATTTTGCCAAAAAAAAAAACAAAAAAAAAAAACTGTTGCTATGATTTCGTCTCTGTGCGACGCGAATGACGCAAACGGTCTTTGTTTCTTTCTGGTGAAATATCGTTATTCCCGTCGATGACGTTGGACGCAATCTTCACGATTTCGTTCCACGTCGAGTGAACAAAAGCTTTTTCAAACTAGTCAAAGATATCAGTGGTGGCACTCTGATTTTCCGCAAACGAAAAGCCTCTTTCCAACTCTGCTTTTTTTTTTTTGAAAAGTTGCTTCATTTACACGCATAATGTTTCGTTCCCTCTCTTTGCTGCATGACTGTAGTGTTTTATTATTTACTTTAGCGCGTCACCTCTGCACCATATACGTATATAGGTGTAGTCCAATGTTTACTTCCTTAGATAAATTGAACGTTTATTATTGTTTATATTCTTTAGTCCCGTTGTACCCAGTAATTGTCTCGAGTCTTTATTTTTTTCTTTTTTTTTTTTTGTAGTTATTATCGTACATCGACCTCCCCCAAGCTTCTCCCCTGCACACTAATGGACGCACACTCGTTCCATAAAACCCGACTCGAGTGGTTTATTACCGTCGTCGGCGGAAGAAAAATCAACACCCGCAATAATAAAAAATGATTCACGAGTGCGTGCGCCAACAAAGTGGCCACTTCCTACGTTAAAACATCTCGCCGCGAAACTGGAAAGTAGCGACTCGCGCGTGAATCATTCCGCGACGCGAATACTTTTCAGGATCTCCCTCCATCAGCTGGACGACTTTTCTGTTTCGGGCGTGCGATAAGAGAGGGACGAAATTCGCGTGCGAGTTGGCTCGTCGACGCTGTAAATGATTGTCGTCGGTTTCGCGTGCGACGTTATGTATTGTCGTTTCCTCGGAGTGCAACAATTTACCTCGACTACAGCCATAAAGTACACCCATTGGATTGTAACGGGGTTGTTATAACCGTTGGTTCCTCGCCGATTTTTCAAACATGGCTTAAAATAGCGACCGAGGACAATGTTTTTCTTTGTCTTTTGCGCCAAAAATAAGTGTCATCTACTACAATCAGGGAAGTTTCAACAAACAGTTGTTCCATGCTTTGTGAAAGTTGCACTTTTTGAAGTACGGACTCTCTGACTAGTTTATTACATAACTCGTTCGAGGTATACTGCTCACTTTTAAATTTTAACTGTACGTGAGAATATCGATGGATCAAACGACTCGTATGTACCAATAATCGGGTTTTCTTATAAATTTCTCCACAAAAATAAAGCAATGACTTATTTGAAGTTCAAATTATCGACGCAGGATAGACTAGGGAGTGCAGAGTAAGTTGAAATTTCGCTTTGCCGCGATGATCTCGCGGTGAAACGAGTTCCTTTCGTTGGGTGGCAGCACGTTCTCTGTACCACGACGCGCAAGTGAATGCTCTCTCATTGCGTATATATATATATATGTATGTATTTATATGGCGTGTGAGTCATCGACAGCATCCTTGTATGTTTATGTATACAAGAGGGGACGAGATACACCATACAGTTCATAACGACCAAAATTGCTTTAACGATTCATCATTTTTATCGAGATCGTTATTTATTATTTACTCACTAAATAATGAGAAATTATAGATAACTAAACGTATTCATGTATAAATTCTCATAAAGTACATTTTTAGTACATCTATTGTACAGCTCACTCGTGACTACCGATCAGAGTCTCACGTGATCTCCGGAAGATATGGATCAGGGAATTCGTGAGAGGTGAAGCTTATTAGAGTAACGTGTGGTATATTCAATGGCAAAGTATTCGTAAGACGATCCATATTTTGATGGAAAAATAAATCCAACGAAGATTTTTGTACACGCGTGGATACCGATCACATTTTGCGAAGCTCGCTTTCATAGGATCGAGAGACGTGACGAAGAAATGAGAAAAGTAAAGCTGCATTCAGCAGTTTTTGAGAAAATAGGTCGAACAACGTGTACTTAATATCCCGTCGACCGATCCCGAGAGTCATTCACTCCAAGTCCCACTCGAGAGTAAGGGTCCACGTTTTCGTTGGGACTTGCCGGGCCAACAACGAGTTACATCAGCGAAAATTTACTGCAAAAGTAAGTCAACAACCCACCACGGAATGCAGTCACGTTTCGTCTTTCGAACTCTCGTCCCTTGCCAATTACACCAAAAAATCGTTATGGAAATATGCGCAATTGTAGAAAATCGTCGCCACGTTTCGTGAGTTTGCCAAACCGTACAGGACCGGCTTTTCGAGTTCCCTCTTCTTCGCTAGGATCACCGTACAAGATTGGCCAATCCACCTTTTGCCTGATTGAAACAGCAATTTCTTGGTAGATCAACCTATACCATACAAGTGTATAGTCTCCCCTATAGAGAATAAGCAACGCATCCTACAAGCCCGTATATCCCCCCTTTGCTCTTTAATCTGCGTGTATAGGGCTCCCTGCACACGAGAGAGGCTGAAAGGTACTATATTGTGCGTGTGTAAAAACGAGACGGAGGCGGGGGTGCGCAACGGTGCGGAGCGGTATAGGACATGGTGCACGCGAGAGAGAGAGAAAGAGAGAGCCGGTGGTCGCCGCCACTGGCGCGCGGCACGAGAAATTCCCCGGAGCGACTCCTCGGCAGAGCGAAACATATAGGTATACCACACGAATTGCTCTTGTCGCGGTTACCAGTCAGCCAGTCGGTATCGCACCGTCCCCCGGAACGGAGCCTATCGCGATGCTCCCTGTCGATGTCTTTTTTAATTATTTTTCGCACTTGAGAAAGAGTTGATCGATTTAACAAGGCTCGTCGGTTTGTGTTTTTCGAATATATATTGGGATGTGCAGCGCGAGGGAAAGATGCTTGGGTACAGTACGACGGGGCACTGAGGAACGTGCGTGTGGTTTTTAGTGTTTGTTGCTCTGGGTTACATGGGAGGATGGTTGGATGGTGGTGTGCGCTTTTTGTGGTGTCATCGTTACGCTTTTCGTCAGTCACAACTGGGCTGAACTACATGTGGGGAAAACATTTTTATTTACTTCTGTGAAAAAGTGGAACCATTTAACCTTCTGATTTACATGCAAATGTAATTTAAAAAGATTCAAGGGTATATTGGTCAGTTGTGTACGTTGGAATTAACTATTCCTGCCAAATTATTTACCTTACCTTTCCAGAGGCATCGAATGTTTTCATGGAAATAGATAATTGAAAAATTATGTGATCCTTCCAACGTACATACAACTGATCGTTAAACACGTATTATTCTGAACAACTCGGATGGAATACAAAATTTTGTTTATAAAGCAAAGAGTCACACGTTACTCGTTGGCGTCCAATAAAAAAACGACCTGAACTTTTGTTTTTTTATCGACTCCTTTTTAGTTCACATCTACTGCATGTTAATCTTAATTTACACAATTGCAAATATCTTTGCCGAGAAAATATTTTTAATTTTTTATCTGTATTGTTTACCCCCGCAAACATCCCGTATATTTTTATTCAATGTTTTCTTCATCCAATGCATTGTGTAAATAGATTGTAAGCCCATGTAAATCACTCGTCTAGTCAAACGTATTTCGTGAAAAAAATATAATAGAATCGTGAAACTAACAGATCAATGTCTAAAATTGCCGTAAAAAAGCGATTAAACTGAAAAATGAGTCAGAGATCGAACCAAGATAACTTTCTTTATGCTCTTGTTTCATGGCGACATATTACTTATCGTGTACAGTTTAAATTTCATTGATGGGCCTTAGACGTGTGATTTACTGATGTACAATAAAGATGATTCGACTCTGATGTCTGAAATAGGCTTGGATTTTTATAGTTTTAACTTATCTTGCTTATTTTCAACAAAAAGCATGTACGAGTAATACAACTTTATCATCGTCCGTAATAAAACTATAATAGTCAAAGTCGCATCTTGGATAAACCCAGCCAGATGTAGGAAAAACCTGTAGTCATTGTTGTTAGTTGACGTTTTTTATATACATATACATGTATTATTTCTTATTAACAATTGTTATACATCATCGTGAGTTCACATTTATATACTTTTAATCAATCATAGTTTCATGATTTTCGAACATCGTATACTCACTAATCACTTCTCAATGGTATACCGATGATTACTCAAAGTTGTCATAATACATGAGTAATTTTTTAAATAACATTTATTGATACTTTTACGCAACAAGCCAAAAAAACCTTGAACCAGAGAACATTTTAAAGCTCGCAGATGTACACATTATCAGTTCATTAGTTACATAAATCAAATTAAAGTAATTGTATTGATTGTAGGCTCTTTTGTCTCACGTACCTATACTCAAGTAGAGCGAGCCAATAGTTTGTCACTTAGCGTTGACCAAAGAAAAAAAAAAAAAAAAAAAGAAAGAAAACAAAGTTTGGTAAAAAATCGACCTTACACGTGCTTGAAAAATCATTTAAGAGTCAAGCAATGTGAAGAAAAAAAAAAAAAAAAAAAAAAAGAGGAAAATTCAAGACAACTGCAATGACCGGTGTTTCGGTGTTTCTGTGTTCTAGCGCGCTAGTTAAGCCGGCGCAAGTCGTCGACGAGGACGAACAGGGCGGCGACTACTACCAGCTGACGTTCCCTAACTAATCCGCCGATTGACGCTAAATAAAAGCACCCCGGCCACAGAGGCAGGAAAATAACGGGGAAAATCGAGCCGAAATACACTTTGTTTGATGAAAAGGGAGGGGGGCCTCTGTGTGCACGGTGGGGGGGAGACTAAGCGAGAGAGAGAGAGCGCAGTCCGAAATAATCTCTCTCCCTCCCGAGGAGCCTATTTCGGATCACTCGCCGAAAATAAGATTATTCAGAAGCGTCATATTTTTTTTTCTCCTTCTTTCCGACGCCGCTGCGAGGGTCTGTGCAGTCGTTGTTTGTGACTCTTTTTGGTCGTTTGTTATATACCTTGCTCTCGTTGTTTTACCCCCCGTTTCCGGGCGCGCCACGCGTCTTTTCGGGGCTCTATGAATCGAAGAAACTTCGAGAGTACGTGCTTTTGGAAAATTGTTTATTCTTTTTTCTCGCAACCGTGACCAAGAAGAGAAAGTTTTTTTTTTTTTTTTTTTTTTTTTAACAGATTGTGCGATAGTCCGGCCGAGCCCGTTTTATATAATAAAGCTTTTAGTCTATTGCGTTATTTCATTGTACCGTACGTAGTGCCCATTTAAATTCTCTCGAGCTTCACAGATTATTATCCAATGTTGAATCTTCAAAATTTATTTTCCTATTAAAACCGTCTCTATGGAATCAACAGTTGTACGCTGACAGTGTTTTTTTTTTTTTTTTAACTTGTTTAAATTCTAATACTGTTCGATTTACCAAGACAGAAAAAAAACAAAATACTTGCCATAATCAATGATTTAAAGGCGTCGAAAAAAAAATGCCATTTTATGTCGGTAATGATTGCTGTTGACAGGTATGATGACTAATGTATTCGTGATCGAACTTTGGATTAACAATCAAGTATGTAATGGATCACGAACGAATTAATGTTAAAAAGCTTTCTTAAACATACCTGTGGGTATTTCTCTCAATCTTAATGATACAATTAAAAATAGTAAAAAAAAAAAAAAAAAGCAAAAATATTTATTTCAACGGTGTCGATCTTCCCGCCCATTTACACTTGCTGAATAAATGTAATTCTTAGGTGATTATTAAATATACGTACCTACACAGTCTTCGCAATAAGAATTATAGTTCTTCCCGTTGATTTTTTACATTAATTTTAAAGGAAAAAAAAAAAAAAAAAAAAGATTATCAATAAGTAAATGATTGCCAATTGTATTCGTCCTTAATGAATTTTTAGACGATGATTTTACGCAACATGCAAGTCCGTGACTTCCGCACCGATTTTACACGGTAGATAAGATTTTTGCCAATCCACCTTTATCATAACTAATATTGTATTCTTATTATTATTGTACTATTGATCTAACGAAGAAACAGTGTAACTCTCTTGCATTATAAGCAAAACAAAATAATAAATACAATTTAAAGTAATAATAATAATAATGATTTTCATAGAAAAACGGGCCTATAAAAAAAGTGCGAGTAAAAATGTGTACATCACTCGAATGAATATGCCGCACGTGGTATTGAAAAAGAAAGTGTATTTTCTTTCAACAATACAGCTTTTGAAAAGCCGTATCGAGTGTGTCAAGGTGTGCTAAATAAAGGACTCGAGTGTGAACTTGAAGAGAGAAGCACTTGTACCACCACCAGTGAGAAAGAAAAAGAGAGGAGGGGGGGGGGGGGGCGCGAAAGGAATTTAAAAGAGAAGAGGCGAACAAAAGGGCATTGAACAAAAATAAAGGAGGGAGGACCGATGGTGAGGCCGATGAGGAAGTGCGAGGAGCTCGCGGAGGCGAGGAGGTCGTCGACGTCGTCGTCCTCCTCCTCCTCCACCGTCTCTTCTGCTGGAAAGATGCAGGGCAGCCTCACGTCACCCACCGCTGCACCAAAGCCCTCCTCGACCGCCAATGGGTAAATTATTGATTGTTTTTCAAAAATCATCAGCCTATTCAGTCCTTTTATCACCTATAACAATATATGTATATTACATTACACGTTTTATTGTATCGACTTGTATACATTTGGCGATGATAAAAAAAAAAAACAGCAAGTTTTTGTATCATGTAAACGGAAAAAATTGGTGTAAATACTATGGGGATCACAACTCCAACGTAGTGCCGATCCCATGTTTAAAAAAAATTGCTTGTATAGGCATGAGTGTAGCGGCAAGTAAAATTTGTACCATTTTTTGATAATATGTACAACAAACGATTCGAAGCACGCTTTCTCCACCGAACAATATAACGCAACCAATGAAATTCAATATTAGATGCGTGCAATAAATATATGTACACTTATATTATACATACACGAAGGCAAGTGAAATTACAAGCATAGCTTTTTTTCTACGTAAACTCGAGTCTTGACAGGAAATGTTTTTACAAGATACGGTGAAATGTAAGTGAAGATAACGAGTCAGATATTTTTAGATACCTAGAAATGACAGAAAATAATATGTATGTATGTTGCACCGATTTTTTACGTCTAGTCACTGGATTACAAGTTTTTTTTTTTTTTTTTTTTTTTTGGAAATTTGAAACAAAATCTGTATTATCTGGTACCTATTTTCGTTGTGATAGATTTTGTAACACGTATACTCATACATCTGTACAAGTGGATCCGTGTAAAAGTTTCAAAAATTGTTTGCCAAAATAATATCGCGATGCGATTGAGTGACAATGCGAGTACAAGTATAATCTTGCAATACCATTCAGAGTTACTTAGGCACGTATTATAAATATTGAACGTGTAATGCTGCGAAGAAGATAATACACGTGTGCGTACGCGCGAGCAAGTGTGCTTAATTTGCGTGTTGGCAGACTTGGGTATGGATACTTTTCCAAAGACTTTGCGTTGTACTTTTTTTCTAAAAATTCGTCTTTACAGCTAATGATTTAGTACTTGGCAAAAAGTTTTAAAGAATTTAAAAAATATATGAACGTTTGATCAAATAATTTACAATAAACTCAATAGTCCAAAAATTGTATGAGCTGGAACAAATTGTTTGAAGTAACGTGTTATGAAAAAAAATTTATTTAATTTCTATCAAAAACAATGGATGACATTTAAAAAAAAAAAAAAATTATTTCCAAGTGTTGAAAAATCTACGAAAAAAATCATACCCAAGTCTGTGTTGAGAGTAAATGTAATAAGTATATTATATCGAGTGGACCCGCCAAATGCATTTACAATGACGAAATGGAATTACATTGCTCAAAGTAATAATAAAATATAGCGAAACGTACTCTATTTATTTTATCGTATTCATGTAACATAGAGAAGTATCAATAAATCTTGTTTAAAATGTTTAGCGTTAATTAATAATTACTGCTGTCTAGTCACTTATCGAAATTTAATTTTTTGTTTAAATTTTTCTTCATATTTTTTTTATTTCTTGAATCAATTACTCTCCAAACAAACAATACATCAAACGAGTATTCATTATTTTATTCGTTCGACTTTTTAAGTTTAAATTCGCACGTTTTATCACACGAGCACTTTTGTTGAGACAAATTATGATTTTGCTCGTACTAAACGGCATATCTGTATGCCCATGTACACAATGTACTCGTGCAGACGCAAGAAAAACCATTCATCTCGTCTGTTTGGATAAAAAAAAAAAAAAAAATAGAGGGGGGTTTAAAAAAGTTATCAGCTATGGCAATGGAAAAGCAGTCCAAGCAACACAACACCATCACTGTAGGCGTCATCGATCAAGTTTACTCCTAATGTATATATATATAATATACATGTATGCATACCGTGTAACCTGTATAGGCGCAAGTAGGCCACTTTTGTTACTTAACACTCTTAGCAAAAGTTCAAACCAATTAGTCGTCGACTCTTTACACCAATTCTCCGTCTTAATCGAACAGCATTACGTACTCGTACGCAAATACATACAATCTCACGTAGTATATGTATACTTACCTCTATGAGAGAGAATTTAATACATGAAAGAGGGACACCCGCACAAGAGTCCCCTATAAGCGTAACCGCGGATAGTACGGTAGCGCCAACCAAACCGGTTTGGTGCATACATATCTCAACCTTGACTCGTTAAGCGATTACGCGATACAACTCTTTGTACGAGATATGTATACGCACACGCGTGTAAGTATAACATATATAACACATATAGCCTCGCCGATTCCTCGCTACGCGTGTATATTACGATATGGGTGTATATGACTCTTGCAAGATGAGAGAGAGAGAGGTACACACGCGTGGCTGTATTATACGCTCGATTTGATTTTTTAAGAGAAAAGAAACCGAGCGAGACCTTGCGCCGGTGTAGGTATGTATAGGTATTTCGTTCTTCCCCGAAGGTTTCCGCTTCTTGGGCTTTGTTTTCTTCTTTCCTCTGTCCACCAAAGGTCGACTTTTTTTTCCCTGCAGCTCGGGCTGTGTGTTCACTCAGCTCGGACATGGTTTGCGGGGAGAAAGTTTTTTTTTTTTTTCTACCCGCGGGCTACACCGCCTTTTGACGGACTATTGTAAAACACAAAATAAAAACACATACCGAATTGCCCCCGCAATCAGCCGATTTTCTAACAGAAATGGGTGCTGTTTTTCGCGTATTTAAACAATGGGGCGTGTGACTTTCCGAAAAAAAAAAACACAATACACCAACAAACAATCGTGCGAAAAAGAAAAAAGGAACAGAGTACAGCTCAACGGCACCGAGAGTCGTTGCGATTAGCAAGAAAATGAGTACAAGAACTCTTTGCGCGTTGTGAATATAATATACAAGCATACGCGGCAGGGAAATTAGGGAAAGATTATTACCGCCAAAGGAGTGACGCTCCAATTATTCTTCGACTCGGCGCGCGGGTTTGTTTGTTTCGCGGAATATCCGCCGTGTGCCACTACGGCGATCCTTTTCTTTTCGTTTTTGCAAAACTCTTCCTGTCTTGCTATATACATATACAACCCCATTTTATTTCAATTTCATTTTTCGCGAACTCGTATATTGTTTTAAAAATATAAAAAAAACATTCTTCACTAGTACATGGACGGGGGGGGGGAGAGAGAAAAAACAAAAAAAAAAACGTCGTCCGGTCTCGGTGAGCTGTGTTAATTAGCTCGGTATGCACCTACTGCGATAAAACACCGTCTCTCCTTCATATATACATATACTTACATATACTCATACCAAAAGGATTTCGAAGCGTCCTGCATCTGCGACGCGCTCCCCGGAGCCTGACGTCCCTTCCGGCACGACTCGTCGGCTCTTGTATTGTATTTTTTGCGAGTCGTGGCACATCCCTCCCTCTCTCTCTCTCTCTCTCTCTGATGGTTGCAGCGCGTACCTATATATATATATTTTGTAGATTCGTTGATCGCTGGAAGAGTAAGTACCTGTTTTACCGTGTCCGTCGTAAAAAGATGCAGGAGGAATCTCTCAGTGGACGGATGAAAACGCGATCTAATCCAACAGGACACGGGCAGAGAGGGGGTTTGGGTTGTATACATCCATGGTACCTATAATACTTCCGTCGATGCTAATTCGAGCAAGACTTCATCCGATGGTCCGTGATGGTCTCGGTGCTGCTTTTCTCACGGTCCAGGGCTCGCTCTCCCTTTGATGTTTTTTTTTTTTTTTTTCCAACTCTACCGAAGGCAAATTGTTGCCTCACGCTCTGGTGCATTCAGCCGAGGAAGGCATCATGTTTATAATGCATTCCGTTCACGTTGAAATCAATCTTTCGTTGCAATCAAATTTCATTTTTTCATTTGCTTTGCCGTATATTATAACTCGTGGTTAATTGATACTTTTCGTTTTATCAACACCACAGCGGAGTAATCCAATATTATTATATAAATGGGATTTACTTGCTTCAAAGTGTAGGAAAACATACAAGCGAGGAAGACACGGCAGTAACTATATACATTTATATAGATGTAGTATGTATACGTAAACAATATACATATATAGGTTGTGCTTGTAACTTCCTCTAGGTGTGTGTGTAATTACGAAAACCTCGAGCACAATACAACAACGGTACTTGTGTATATCTTAACATGTATATATAGGTGCGGGTAGAAAGTTAATTCGCTCATGGCGCACAGGGAAAAAAAAAAAAAAAATAGTCGTCCCGCGCAGGCGGACCCAATTTACACGAGAGAAAACTGCTTCCTTAGGCCCATTACGTGTATACACATATAGAGGCGGAAACG